ATAATATAATATAATATAATATAATATAATATAATATAATATAATATGATGTATTAAGCATTAGCCTGAACATGAGTCTGTTGAGAGCAGATGGGGATGATTTTAACAGCTTACGGGTAAGAAATAAGCAACGTAGATACTCAGCAGCACAGATACAATGTCAAATCTCCTATTAAAGTGTCATTACAGTGATTTTCCTGTTTAGGGATTTATGTGTCTAATTGCTTCAGGGTATAAGCTGTTCCTCAATAATTCCTGCCGTTCCTGCTGTAATTATTACTTATCCTACAAAGAAAAAAAAAAAAACAGGTCATGGTAAAATATTTCAAAACTATTCGACAGATGACAATAACTGAAGTAAACATTAACATAAGTTGAGAAATGAGAGCTCAAACGTTACTAAATGTGTATTGCCAATATTATTAATCAATTTATTACTGTCAATACAAGTATTAGGACCCTAAAAAGCATGGCGTTTAGTGCAGGTGTATTGATTTGAGCTCAGAAAGCACACAGAAAATAAATGAACATCACAAACTGTATTGTAAAGTGTACAGAGTCGTGAACAAATGTAAATATGAATAGCTTGAGCCTTTTGGAAGCGCCTGTGTGTTCACGAAACAGTTAACCAGTGTGGGGTCGGTGACTTGGACATAGACATATTTACGTAGACGTCTCATTGAGCGTTGAATGTACGTCGACGTTGCCGCCATATTGGATGTGGCAAAAGTGAAGCGAAAGGAGAAGATGCCTGATTCATTGAGAGTGGCATAACGGAAAAAGCTGTTTTTCCAAAGTTTATAACTTACACACATGCACACAGACTGCACATATTGATGAATCGAAATCAGTTAAATGTGAATGTTAATGCTCTTTATTCAGAAAACCCACGTCACAGCTACATTTCAGGATTTGGTTATTATAGACAGATTAAATGAAGAATTTTTTAAACGTTTTTAATCACCACAGTAATAGTGTTATACATGTTAGTAGTTGTAAACACAAAAAAGAATAGGCTGCATAAAAGGAAGAGGCAGGTAAAAGATGTATGGATGCGTGGTTTAGATGCTTAAAATAACCTGTATAAATAAAGGTTGACTGAATTATGTGAATGTTGTGTGTTTCCTTGACTGATGAAGCCTTCTGGATGGAAGGTGACACGTTTCAGAAAAAAAAAAAAAAAAAAAAGAAACTGTCCAGATGACCTGATTGAAAATTGTTGGATTGTATACCTGGATTATTGAACATGGACTTTTTTGGTTGAACGAATTAACCTAAACATTTAAGGAGTAATAATCATGTTAAAAGTTAGAAATGTTGTCTATGGTGTCTGCTTGTTTTCCAAATATATTAGTGTGTGTAAATAACAACGGTTAGGGAGTGGGGAGTGGTGGCGCAGAGGTTAGAGAGGTGGGCCTGTGATCCGAAGATCGCTGGTTCACGCTCCGGCCCCGACAACATCAAAAAATTGTGGGTGGGGTAGGTGAAACACCCACACTTGCCCCCACCCTCATTTGCCCCACTCTGGGCCCATGAGCAAGGCCCTTAACCCCACCATGTGCTCCCTAAACAGGTCTCTCTTGAAAATGAGTTCTCGTGGCTCAATGAGACTACCTGTATAAATAAAGGCTAAATGAAAAAAAAACAAAAAAAAAAACTTAAAACACTTTGTAGTCGGCGCTTTATGAAATTCAGTCCTTGACCGGCAGATCTGCCACATCCAATATGGCGGACGCGCTGACGTACCGCAGCAGCGTCCAGCCCGCTCAACGAGGCGTCTACGTATTTATGTCTATGGCCGTGGAGGCTGCGGATGACGTCAGCGCTGGACAAAGCAACAAGGAGTGGTTTCTTTTGAGGAGAAGCGTCTCAAATCAATGAAATAACCCAAACACTCAGAGCAACAGTACTTCTTGTAGTTTTAGCAGCAGTCAAATCAAAGTGTGTGTGGGCGCAAACAGAGCTGTTGCTGCTGCGGGAGGAAAGAAGTGTAAAAAAATATATAACGCCGTCTGGACACACAGCAGAGGAGAAGAGTCACCACCGCTGCACGGTCGGTGAGTTTCAAGTTTCATGTGGTAAATATGAATACACGTGAACAGGAAAACAGAGTTTGATACTTGAGCTTCGGTGTAAAAAAAAATACAGGAAACTTGGATTATTTAGACAAAACAAACAGCAGTGAGGGCAGGCAGGGCTAAGTTCACTCATAACTGTTCACTGGCTCTAAAGTACTTTTACTTCAGTCACTTTAAAAACAACCCAGGCCCGTTAACCTACACCAGGAGTCTGCAGCCTTTACGATCAAAAAAATACATTTATATAATACATTACGCCTTCGTTCACTAAATTAAGTGTTCAGAGCCGCAACAACTGTGATTATCAACTGGTGGCCCATGGGCCTCTCTAGGTTTGTTGGGAGGGGGGTTTGTGGCCACCATAGGAAAGATAAAACTATCTAATGATTTTTAACATTTATTGATATTTTTACAATTTAAGACAAATGAAGGGACCAGATTCTTGGGGCGGGGGTAGTTTATTTAACTAATAAAAACTATGAACTATGCGGATATGTCATTTTTTTAAATTATCGAAAAAATAAGTAGAGATGAAACATAAAGTTAAAGTGAGTATCTATCTAAAAAAGTTAAATCTGGTCCTTTGGACATAAAAAACAAAACAAAAACAAAACAACAACAAAAAATCGTAGAAATGTTTCGTCTTTCATTCGAAAGACTTCTTCAGAGTTGCTGTATTCAGCTCAGTCTTATAAATAGCGCCATCTAGTGGATCAACCAGTTCGCTGCGGGCAACCAAAACCAGCTGCTCACTTTCGGATGAAAGACGAAACGTTTCTACAATCTTTTTGTTTTGTTTTGTTTTTTTGAATGTCCCGAGGACCAGATTTAACTTTTTTTTTAGATTTTTCTACCTGGATGATTGAGCATGCATCAGGTTAAAGCGAGTATGTTTTACTCCTTGTACTAGTTCCAGAAGTATTCACATATTTGCAAAAGAAGTGAGCAGGAAAACAGCTACAACTAGTACTTTATTGCTGTTTTTATAACAACCAATAAAATTCAGTTTCATGTTAGTTTTGGTCATAGCTTGAAAGAGCCGCGTGTGGCTCCAGAGCCGCAGGTTGCAGACCCCTGACCTACACGGTGTACATTTTAAAGAGCTGGAGCTTCTGCATCATAAGCAGCTAAATTGAAAAAGCTAAATTTCACACTTAGCTAATGTCGACGTGAAACAGAAGAAGAAAGCCACAGCTATGCGCTGCCATAATGGCACAGAGCTTTAATTAGCGTAATTAGTAACACCTAGTTTAATCACTCCTGCGAAGTGAATCATTCAATATGCTACATTTAGCTCATACTGGATAGCTATGAGACTGATAATTAGGTTAATAAAAGTGCTAACTAAACTTTTAGTAGTTTTCATAAAAGTAAAACTTTTATGCAGCTCCTCAGACATGAAATCTCCTCCAGGTTTATGGAGCTCGTCATCTCCGTTTGGTGAACTAATGTAAAATTTAATGAAGTCATATTATTCAATGGTCTGACTAAAAGGAGCCCAGTCGTTCTTAAGAGGGATGTTTAATCTTTGGTTTCTGCTGCTGTCTGAATGTAGGGGCTCACTTGGTGGTTAGAGATGCTCTTATGTTCACTGGGTCAATGGAGTTGATTGTGGAGAAGATTGCCATATGCCAGTAAGATATCTGAGCCCAGACAAGTTAGACTTTAATATATATATATATATATATATATAAATAAACATACATATATATATATATATATATATATATATATATATATATATATATATATAGATATATATATATATATATATATATATATATATATATATATATATATATATATATATATAAGAGATAAGCCGTTGGAGAATGATTGTCAATGAGATTTTCCTGAACAGCGAGAACATGGTTAACTTTAAATTTTAATGATGTGTGCAATTTCAAAAACAAAGTATTTCATCAACCTCTGTATAAAGCGTAATAGTCCATAGTGTGACTAAATGAAATACAAGGGTGATCATGACTCATAGGCTGACAGACATTCTCTAAAATAGTTCAGACCATCACATCAGGGACTTTTTCCTTTTTACTAATGCTCTTTCAAAGACAGAACTACGAGCCAGGAATACTTGTGTACTCTAAATGGAGTACCACGTTCTTTTAACGTAAAAGCCACTTTTGTATTTACTTTATTTGCATGTGTTCTTTAGGTTTGTGAACGGTAAATTCGGTCGGACTGTTTTAATCTCAGACGCTGACGTGAACCGAAGGGGTAAAATGAGTGCGCG